GCTGGGATCGAACCATACATCAACCCTTATTACCGTTAACAATCTCGGTAATCTCTATGCTGAGCAAGGCAAGCTGAGCGAGGCGGAGCTGATGTATCGACGGGCGCTAGCCGGGAAGGAGAAGGCGCTAGGCGCGAACCATATATCGACCCTAAGTGTCATTCACAATCTCGGCCTTCTCTATGCTCAGCAAGGCAAGCTGAGCGAGGCGGAGCAGATGTATCGACGGGCGCTGGCTGGGTACGAGATGGCGTTGGGAGTTGATCACACATCGACCCTTACTATTGCTCACAACCTCGGCCTTCTCTATGCTAAGCAAGGCAAGCTGGGCGAGGCGGAGTAGATATATCGGTGGGCGCTGGCGGGGTACGAGATTGTATTGGGAGTTGACCACATATCGACCCTCAACACCGCCTACCGGTTAAGTGTTATTTTGGTCTCTTGTGCCTAGGGAGCGAAGTTTCAATCAACTTGTGTGGAATCCAACATGCCTCAATACTTCAACCAATTACTGCAACTTGCGTAGAGCATAAAACCTAGAGGGCAGGCATTAAAGATTCTGTTTATCGGTGCTATATTAAACGGTCAGCTACAAGGAGTAAGCCATCTACTTATTAATAGCTGATATCTCTCAATAGGTCTCCGAAGGTCCCATTTATAGGTTCTCAGCTCATCGATGACCGCATCGAGAACCAGAACGATTATTACCGAAGAGTACCGTACCGTGGACACTCTGGCAAGACCGGTTTTCAGGAGGCAGAGCGAATAAAAGCAGAATCGGAGCGACGAAAGACTCAAGACAAGAGGCAACCCGAATGAATTATATACTTCATTAACGAAATGGATCGTAACAGCTTATGTATGCCACAATCGTTCCTGCATATGGTCCGCGAAGCACGGAGCCGAAATAATTGAGCGCGGGCAAAGGTGAAGAAGTAGAACGTCTATGAAAGAAATGAAAATCTGGCTCCTGAAGCACAGGACTCAGCAGAGGAGAAATAACATTGTGCATGGTCAAAAATACAGTGTGATATCGTATTGGATCGACCTTTCAATACCTCTGATCGATGAGTTTCAAGTCTTGACAGTCAACCTGGTGAAACTGGGCCTTGTGACCGTCAATTATCATGGATGAAATGTTAGAGCAAATCTGATCATCTTTGGCTAGACTGTCCCCACTTATTCCTTAGCGTCCTGCGGAAGAAAGGCTCAATATGTCTTAGAGGGGGAGGGCGGTTTCGGGAAAGACTGTATCTGCAGCAATGCTGAAACCAGATCAGTATGTGGAAGGTACACGCTTGACTCAAGACAAGCAGTTTGAATTGCCTCTTCCTGATGACAATGTAGAGGCAATGGCGGTTCAAGAGGTGCCTTCGGGCCTACTAATGTTCAAGCAGCTGATCCTTCGCCCTAAAACGCTATGTGTGCTTCACACAGAACATGTCGTCTGTGTGACTCCCGCTTCCGGCCTTACGGAATACAGTATCCATGCACTCCCACATGTTGTGGCCTTTGCTACGGGGTGTAAGGGAGAGCGAAAGACCACTAAGACGCGAGTTCTACTATTGTATGTATAGCCACGAGTCTGTGGCGGCCACTGTCCCTCAGCAGCTACTATCCCCAACCCGTTAAAAGCTGCCGTGGACTGGAAGACGGGGGAAGCGCTGGCGCATTGTGAGCGCTGGCGCATTGTGAACGCTGGCGCATTGTGAACGCTGGCGCATGGTGAACGCTGACGCATTGTGAGCGCTGGCGCATGGTGAACGCTGGCGCATGGTGAGCGCTGGCGCATGGTGAACGCTGGCGCATGGTGAGCGCTGACGCATGGTGAGCGCTGACGCATTGTGAGCGCTGACGCATGGTGAATCATTCCCCGCAGGGAACCATGTCCTGAAGGCCGCAATGTCCAGCAGGGAATCATGTCCTTGAGGGATGGCGGTCCCTGAGGGATGATGGTCCTTGAGGGATGGCGGTCCTTGAGGGATGATGGTCCTTGAGGGATG